TAAAAGTGCTAATTGCTTTTTGTTGTAAATAGGTGAACCAGTCACTGTGTATCGCCTCGAAGAAAGTTCTCCCAACATCTTGAACAACAGCATGTCTTCCTGGTCACAACTGGGACTCTGTGCAAAAATTGAATTTTTAAGCAAAGAGGAGATGGGAGGAGGTTTACGTCGAGCTCTTAAAGTTGTATGCACATGGTCAGAGTATGACATCCTGAAATCAGGACATCTTTATATCATCAAGTCTTTCCTTCCTGAAGTTGTGAACACTTGGTCAAGCATTTATAAAGAGGACACTGTGTTACACTTGTGCTTGAGAGTAAGTTTTATTCTTGTCATTTACTGAACATAGACAAGCACGGTGTTTAAGTTAGTTTGCTGTTCTCTGTGAGCTAAAGGGCCAAACAGACAAAATAACCTGCTCCATTATGGTTTAGTGAATCAAAAAGCTAAAAATCTTACAGTGTAAATATAATTTAAAGAGCAAGCAATTTGGCAGTTACTGTTCTCTCTGCCTTTTAAACTGCATAATGTTTCCTGTTATATAATACAGCAATAAAATATGGACTTTGGATTCTAGGAAATTCAGCAGCAGAGGGCAGCACAGAAGCTCACCTTTGCTTTCAATCAAATGAAACCCAAATCCATTCCTTACTCTCCACGGTGAGTACTCTTAAACTTCTGTTTTATTGCATGTTTTTGATATAGAAGAATGCCTACGGGGTTGTGAACGTGTCAGTCAAGCATATTAAGGTGTTGATATGGTTTTTTTTTATGTCTCTGGATGTTATTAAGAATGTTACAAACATTCTTGGCAATGTTTGTATTGATATTTTCTTGCAGTAATTCTAGGCTTGTGTGACAATAGTTTCAAATGTTTTAAATAAGTAGATAAAATAATTATCCATTAGTAATGGTACGCTTGTCATTTATTTTGGAAATATGTTCATTAAGTGTGCTTTTTACTAGGTTCCTGGAAGTTTTCCTGTTATATTGCCACTCTGCTGGGCAGTGGTTTGCAGTTGAAGAGTGCATGACAGGAGAGTTTAGAAAATATAACAACAACAATGGTGATGAAATAATTCCAAGTAACATGCTAGAGGAGGTTATGCTGGCTTTCAGCCATTGGACATATGAATATACAAGAGGGGAGCTGCTCGTACTAGATCTGCAAGGTAATGTCCCTGTTTTGAAACTGGGGTCAAGGACCAGGGAAGATGTATATGGGTCTTTCTCACAGAATCGTAGTCCTGGGTAGGAAGGAACTGATAAAGACCATAGAGTCCAAGTCCTGCACTCACTTGTAATCACATTTTATTAAGACTTCATATGCTGGTAACAAATAATGAACAGTATTTACTGTGTCTTGATCTAGTAAATCTGAATTGGTGGTGAGCTTATTGAGTGTGGCACTGGATGCCGCAGCGCTGAAGAGAATATAAGTGTACACAAGCTTTACTAATGATAAGCACCATAAAAATAATGCATCTGTAGAAACATTTGAGTAGTAGTAATATAGCAAGCTGTGCTTATACTGAACTGTGTGCCACATATTCTGTCTATGAGAAGTCCCATGTAAGAAATTTCTCTCAGGTGAAAAGTGGTTAAGAATTGTAGACATAAAAATAGGTCAAGGAAACCTGAGAGGTACAAACTACTTAGGAGCAATTCATGTAAGAATAAAGAGTGTCCTGTACCACGTGATTCCTTCTGCCTTCATTCTTGGGAAAGCTGAGAAGTCATAGCTGACAGTGCCAAGGCTTTTCAATATTAATGCACTGGTGTAACGTATAGATAGATAGATAGATACTATATATTTAACTGTTTCTTCCTGTGCTGTCTGAAGGTGTTGGTGAAAATTTGACAGATCCGTCTGTGATAAAAGCTGGAGAAAAAAGGTAAGATTGAAGAAAAGTTTAAAGAAAACTATACTTTTTTTTTTTTTTTTTCTGGAGAACACAGCCTATGTTTATATGCCCTTTATTTCTAAGGTCTTACGATATGGTGTTTGGTCCAGCCAACCTGGGAGAGGATGCGATAAAAAACTTCAGAGCGAAGCATCACTGTAATTCCTGCTGCAGGAAACTTAAACTCCCTGGTAAGCGTGGCTACTGTATTTTTTCTGAGACATTCATATACTGTAGTATACTGTATGATGTATAATTAAACAGTTGTGTCATGCCATGAAAGTAGATTAAGTAATAAACGTCAGTTTTGTATTTTTACTTTTCAAATGTTCCATTTTAAGAAGAAAAATCTGAAATTAAGCATTTAACAGTGTGCATGTATTCTGTATTTGTGTGCACAATATTTGAAGTAGGTAGGCTAGACTGATGTAGAATTCAGAAGGTAAAATAGAAAAGGTCATTTAAAAAAAAAATCATAGAATCATAGAACCCTATTTTTTGGAAGGAACTTCTAAATGTCATCTAGTCCAACTCTCTATTGAACTGGGTCTCCTGCAGCTAGGTTGGGTTGCTCAGATCCTGGTGCAGCCTGACCTTGAGTGTCTCCAAGGAAGGGGCACTCACCATCTCTCTGGGCAACCTGTACCAGTGCCTTACCACCTTATTGTAAAATCTTGTTCCATACAACCAATCCACATCTCCCTTCCTTTAGTTTGAAACCATTTCCTCTTGTCCTGCCACAACAGACCTTGCCAAAGAGTCTGTTCCATTCTTTCTTACAGCCTCCCTTTAGATACTGAAAAGCTGCTCTTGGGTCTCCCTGGAGCCTTCTTCTTCTCCAGGCTGCACAGCCCCACTGTCTCAGCCTGTCCCTGTAGGGGAGACGTTCCATCCCTTGGATCATTTTTGGGGCCCTCTTCTGGACATTATTTGAATTATAACTCCTAGTAAACTTGAAACAGATAACAGAAGAATCCTTTAAAAGTCAACCTAATGCTTGCTATATAATATCTGTAAATAGAATAATTAAGGCCCTGTTACTTTTTAAAGCACAGCTTTAGGCTTCCCATTTCATGTACGATAAAAAACATCCATTTTTTAGCACTGAATGCATACTGAGGAATTCTTACTTACAAGTCTATCCAGTTATGTGAAAGACTTTTATGCTTCATTGAGTCTGCTCTACAAAGAGATAGTAACCAATATGACTTCATTTTGTTTGTACAGATCTGAAGAGGAATGATTACACACCTGACAAGGTTATATTTCCTCAGGATGATTCCCCTGAACTAACAATTCAGCCTGGAAGCTGCACCAAAGAATCAGATTCAGCTAATTCTCTTCGTTTGATGCTCTAATGATGTGATCAAATCAGTGGCTTCATCCAAACATCATGGAATGTCACAGAGCTGTCACTTATCTTTCCTTCACCACAATTAAAAGAAAGATGCATCAAAACAAGGATTACTGTGTTATAAGTGAAATTTTGGCTGGTCCATATTCTAAGGACCTAACAATTTGTAATAACCATCTACAGAGAACAGATTGGCAGCTGGTCATTTTAGAGGTTGAATTATGATAAGTATTTATGGCATGTTTTTAAAAGGAGCTTTTTAGCAGAAGGTTTATTTTTTATTTTGTTTTGGTTTAGTGGAGGATTTTCTCTCCGTAGTCCTGTGGTGTGCAATACGCCTTCAACCAAAAGGATTTCGGTAGCTGATGTTTTAAGGTAAAGCATTTGTCTGTTTGGCATCTATCTTACCGTCATTTGGAAAAAGATTGGAGAAAGCACCTACCTCTGTGATGCCAGAGTATTCTTGGGGCGTGTTTGGAAGTGTTCCACTATCACCAGATGATTTGTAATCTGGCCTTTTGGAGAGGGCAGAGCCAAACGAGGGTGTGCATGTGACGCCAGTAGGCTGAGGTTGAAGGTAGGAACTCGATCTGTTCCAATAGAGAGAGAGTCTCCTGGATCAGGGTTCGGCTTCGTAGCTGTAAAACTATTTTTTGTGGAATAGAGCCCTAATTGTGCATAATGAGATTTCTTGTTTTATACATTTCAGTTTTCTCACATCACCATCAAATAGTAACAAAGCCATGATAGACTGGTATAATCATATTTAATAGAAGAAGTAGTATGTACTGGTCCAAATAAGTTGCCTTGTGAGAACACAAGTTGGAAGTGCTTTTTGTTGTACATAGTGACTGCTTCAGAAGTTTTGCCTTCCAAAGATCTCATCAAACCAGTGTATCAAAGCCGAATGTACACATAACTTTTAAATGTATTTAAAATTGTGTAGAAAACATCTTTAATGTTATGTTATTTGTGGTACTTATTTAAGAGAGACTAGGGTTGGATTAGCATTATGTAAAGTTCGGGAGATTGCAATGCACCTTCATGCAAATAAAATATAATTTAACTGTCCCAAATATTGTTGAGCATTCAGCAAGAAAAACCTGTTGTCCAACTGAAGTTTCATGCTGCGATTTTTTTGTTACATAGGTACTAATTTGTAATTTTTAATTAAAAGGGCAGTATACAGCTCTATAAATTTTTTTATTCAGTAGTGTATCTTATAGATACAGACTTAAGGCACGAACACAATAGCTGTTTAAATGGTGTTTTATGTTTGACGGGGAAAGGTAAAATGTTATAAGGATATGATACTGTATACATTTTGTATATCGTTAAATCTTCAAAGAATCTAAAATAAATTTATTCTTGTTTACAGACTTCTGCTGTCTGTCTTAGTCTGAAAGGTTATATCCGATGGCTCTGTGTGTGGAAACAGTGTTTGCTGTGCTGGGACACAGCAGTTGGTTGTCTTTGAGGTATCTGAGCTTTGGCTGATACCAGGAACTAGGGGAGTAAATGTGGAAGCTGTAGTGCACAAACGTATCTGATAGGATTAATGAGTAAATGAGATAAAATATCTTAAAGTTGTTTATAGTGTTTGTTTAAAATTTGGAGCTCCTTATTGGGTGGTTGCTTGCATCCCCTTGTGTTGTTGTGAGGTGATAGGCTTCTGTTCAAGGCAGGAATTACACAGCATACAATGCATTAATGAGGCTAGTTCTTAAAATCGAGAAGGATTTCTGGAGGAGACCAAAAGGGTAAATAAGGTCAGGGAACGCGTGTATGACTTGGAGTGGTTAACTGGTTAACTGTGCATGTTTTTGTACATCTTCCTGCCATGAGTGCCAGCTTACTGAGAATACAGCTAGAATTACATGAGAAACCTCAATGTAAACCGAGGAGAAAACAATGGAAACTTTTACATACAATCTTCTCTTTTGTGCTAACAGAGAACAGTTGTAAAGGAAGGCATTGGAAAAATGTGGTGGCAAAGAAGTGTTGGTTTGAAGAGGTATCCTAACCCTCAGGAAAATATTCATGTCGTGTTCATGTTGTGTTTTCCAAAAGTAGGCTGTAGGACCATGTGGGTTCGGCTGAGAACATCGAGCGTCTTTAAATCTTACCAACCTTGATGTGGATTTCCATGTTATGCTATTTGAAGAATGTCTTCCATAAATGGAAATTGGTAAGCTATGTTCTTCTCCTTGTTAGATATCTTAGATTCCCTACCACAAACCTCAGGATAATTTCACTGGTAGAAAAACCCACTGAATTAAACTGATTATGATGTACTTAATGCTGGTGTTACTTGGTTATGTAATCTCTGCTTTTGGAAAGATCTCTTATTATTATTCTCTTTTTACAATTAATGCTTTTCAAGGTCTTGATTTGCATTCCACCAACAGTAGGAATAAGCACAAGAATTATGTTTGTTAGGATTTCATTACAAATTCTATTCTAGCTGCATGACAATTGTTACAGGTTAAATTTATCTTGCAGTTTCCCAGCAGTGGTTTCAGAAAGCATTTTCTTTTTCAGTGTTGTCCTCAGCCTGTGTATGACCACAGTACTTGCTGTTCAAGACATTTCCCTGCTCTTGATCATTTTCCCTCTGTAACACACAAGTAATACACAACAAGTAGAAGCTGAAAAAGCTGATTAGTTTGTAGTATCATTGATTCCTCTTATACAGCTCTGGGAACAATTACTCATTTCCTCCTCCTATCTATTTTTCTTAGTTTGTTGTACAGCACTGCATTTCTTTCTGTTGCTCTAAACAGTTCCCTGTGCTCACGCTTGTCATTAATGGAGGGAGATTCAGATGAAATTCCTTCATACCAACCATGGTGGAGCAGAACTGAAGTGCATCAGCTTACTCTGTAAAATACTGCACGTGTGTGCACTCATGCTAAGATTTTGGGGGTTGTAACTTATTTTTGTGTATTTGCTTTTTTAGAGCCAGGGATGAGAATGTTGGTACGGTGACGGGAGCTTGCCAAGAAGATCAAGGGGCAAGTTCCTGACGTGGGGACTCCTGATGGCAGGAAGGAAGAAGGGTAAGCTATGTAGGCATATAGAGCTAATTGCTTTTTCATTACTGAATTTGAACTCTCATCATTATTTAACCATATAGAAGTGTAAATATATATCTGTATGTCTAGTTGCACTACTACCATAACTACTGCTAATACACAAAAAGTCTAGACAGTGCTTTTCCATGTTAGACTGGATATTAGGAAGATACTAGCAATAAATTCTTTACTGTGAGGATGGTTACACACAGATTGCCCAGCAAGGTCCTGGATGCCCCCTCCCTGGTAGCATTCAAAGCCAGGCTGGGTGGAGCTTTGAGCAACCTGGTCTAAGGGAGGCCTACAGCAGGGGGTCGAACTGGATAATCTTAAAGGTCTCTTCCAACCCAAACCATTCTATGATTCTTGGATGATTCTGTGTTTGTGCCGTGCTGCTATGCTGTTGTTTGTGCTTAGTGTAAGGTACAGGTGGTTCTATTAGTTGTAGCAGAAGTGGAAGCAAAAGTGCGGCCGTTGCTGAAGGGTGTTGTAGAGTAGAAAGACCAGGGAAAGTGGCCTTTTGGGCAGCAGCTGGAAAACTTCTGGCAGGAAGCTTTGACATCAAGGCATGGCAGTGATTGTTTTCTGAGACTGAAACTTCTGAAGTTTCCCTTTCACAAGATGTGCAGCAAGTGGCAGCCTTCTCTCAGAGTCTGCACAAAAACAGAATTAACTAAGAACAGAGGCATCTCTTTCAAGTTATGGTAGGCAGCTGGAAGCTTCCCTCCTGCCCTTGCTGCAATTGAGCAGCAGATCTCTTGTTGCAAACTTTGACTGGAATTTTGTATCTTGTGGTGGTTTTTGTTTGTTTGTTTGTTTTGTCATTCTCCAGCCTCTGCCATAGCCATAGCTCGGCCCTTCCATATGCTTGGATAAAAAGTCTGACTTCTGCCATCTCCCATTGACGTCAGTTAGTATGGTCTTCTCTTGAGTCCACATGAGAAAATATGATATTTCTTCTAAGTAGGTCTGACTTACTATTTGTATTCTGTGCTTACTGTGCCCCAGTAAGAAGGTGTTGTGCTGCAGGAGGAGGAGGCTTCTAGCGCTGTGGAATGAGATTTCTGAGCAGCAGCTGTGCCAGGGGCTCATGGGGCAACCCCTGCTGTGTGAATGCAATTCTGCAGTGCCTCTGCAGAGTGTCACTGCTCATAGAGTATTTCCTCTCAGGAGAATAAGAAGCAGCCCTGCACAAATAAGGTGATCCACACTACTGTTATTTTTCTCTCCTTCCAAATGCTACATGTTGCAATGAGGACGCTGGAGGCAGCCACCTGCCAGCTCCCCACCCGCAGGCATGTGGCCGCAGCTAGGTTTTGTCCTTCCTCCCACGTCACCTCCAGCACGTCCCCTGCTCCTCATCCACTTCCCCTTTCTGTCAGCAGTGACCTGCATTGTCAGCAGGCAGAACTGCCTTTATTTGGAACTTCCTGTTCCAAATGGCTGGAAGTCCCAGACCAGAGCCAAACTTTTCTGACACTTCTGTGCTACTGAGGAGACTTGGTCCTGTTTGGGGATGCTGCCAGAGCACCTTCACCTCTCACTGCTGTTTCCTTCACCCACCGTCCCTCATATCATCAGTACTCTGCCTCTGCAGATACTACCCATATGTTTCCTTGCTGAGTAGCTTAAGTGTTATGCCTAATTTATTTATTTATTTATTTATTTTTGGCCATTTTATGCTAATACCAGAAATTGTCATCGCTGTCTTCACATTTTGTTACTTTCTAGTATCTGCAGTCTCTCAAACCAAATGACAGAGGCCATCTGAAATTTGTTTGTTCTTCCCAAGGGAGAATGGCAAATCTGCAACCACCTTTGGCTGTTCTGCATCTGATGTATGGCTGAGAGAGCCCAGCTGTATTTCCCTGGGGGGTTTTTGTTCAGTCCTTGGGGAGCAGTGCCCAACTGTCAGCAAGAGGACTCAGTGGGATGTGTAGACATTCATCTGCATGCTGAATGAACTCCATGAGGCCCTAAAGAAGGTAAGAGTGCTGCTGTGATGTGTTGGAGGCTGTATGTTTCCTCTGAATTTTGTACTTGAGCACCTCACGACATAATCACCAGTTCTCCTCTTCCAAACTGCATGATATGGCTGCTAAAATTATCATTTTCCTCCTTTGTTTCATGCTCACATGTACAATAACTCACTATCTTCTAATGCCATGTCAAATTGCAGCCCCTCATCTAAATGCTAATGCTGCCTGTGCCTCTTCCCTGCCTGCCCTTTCCAGGCTTTACGTTCTTCCTTTTCATCTGCCCACAATCTTCCTCTGCCATGCCCCTGTCTGCTCTTCTCTTCCTCAGGTCCCCTGAAAAACAGCTTTGCTAGCACTTAAATCATTCCACCCACATGTCCAAAGTGTTAAATCTTACAGCAGCTTACTTGATGCTCCATATACACAGATTAAACTGAAGTAGTAGAATTTCAGCTTGTCTCAAAACTTGACTCTAAATAGCCTGCGGCCAATGGGCAGCTGCTGCATTGCAAACCCACTCTGCTCTTCCACAGAAATTAGCTCCACACTGCTCTCAGAAGATGACCTGGTAAACTGGGCAGGCACCATGGGTCCTTCACCTTGTGTTGGACTTGGCTTGGTGCTATGAAGGGAGCTGGCAGGGCAGAGACCTCCAAGCTGCTAACACCAATGTTGTAACAGTGAGGGGAAGTTAATTCCCCAAGAAGAAAACAGCTGCTGGGGTGGAAAGAAGCTTTTGTAGGGAAGGGTAGCCTTGAATCGGAAAAGACAAAAGATGAGATCAGTATTTCTTTCCAAATAACCAGAGTACTGCTAAAACCACAAAAACACCAGGATTTTGTACTGGGTTCACTGATGACCAGTTACTGCACTGCAAATGAACGTTCTCCTCCCTGCATCGCAGTAATGGCAACTTTCACCCATGAGCTGTCTCATTCAGCTGAAGTCTGGCAATAAGCAGCACTGAGCACTGCAGGTACAGCAGTACATGGAGATGTTTTCAGTGGTCCTAGCATGATACAGATCTCATTCGTTCTCAGCACCTTTTGCAGGTTAAGCCACATTAAACATTTGCTTCTCTTATGACCTTGGATCACTGAAGGAACTTCTGAAACAGCTGGCTACTTTTTCATTTGTTACTTTAATATAGCCAAGCTCCTGATGTGGAACAAAGGAAGACGCTGCAGTCAAGGCTACCACAGCTGAGGTGCCAGAGGTAGATTTGTACCTCTTTAAGTGAGAAATAACTGTGGGGTGAGCCAGGGCTGTTTCCTGGGATTTATGAGGTAAGAAGGATATTGTCAACTGCTAACCTTATGAAAAAAAAGAAGAAACAGTTCTCTGGAGTAGTTGGGCTTCACAGAACTGATTCAGAATTAACAGAACAATTAACAGAATTAATTTCCTGTTCAGCATTTGCCTGCCCTGCCACGTTAAAACACCTTCTGGTCCTCAGCTATAGCTTTGGCTGCATTACGAAGGTTTAGAAGTATGCTGTATACTGAAAGTTACAGAGGAAAAGGGGAATGGAGTCTGGCAAGAAAGGAGAGTTGACGATACAGTCCAAAACATTTAAGGGATGGTGACAAGGACACAGAGGTTTGACTTCTGTCTGCTTTTAATACCTGTGTCCATTTCTAATAGATGGAAGGATCAGACCGCAAGATCTTTGCTTTCCTTGCTGGACATCATTTGCAGGCACAGTGCGTTGGTCAGTGGATGGTAATACTCAACATTAACACAGATGTATTTCAAAACCCAGGGTAGCCATTAGACATTCTCCCCCTCCCCCAGTAAAGCCAGTTTAAGAAAACACAATAAAAGAAGTTGAATGTTATTCAAAATAGTTCAAAATTTTATTTCAAGTTTGAGTGGCAAGGCAACTACAAAAGGAAACTCTTCACTGACATCTGCTATCCACTCAGCAATATGGATCTCTCTCCATATAGTTACACATTTTTCTGCAAGAACTCAGGTACAGCTTGTGTGCTCTGATGTTGAGCTTTGCCTTTCCTACTTCTATGTGTAACACCCTGTCCCGTGTAACAGATAAAGCCTGGGTTTGTTTGGACTTAGAGCTGCCTCTGCTCCAGGCACTTAAACATCCAGCAGCTTGAAAAGCACACAAGCATACAAAAACCCCAACAAAACAACCAGCACCTCCCCACCGCTCTCAATTCAGTCTACAAATGCATCCGGTAAACTGAAGTTTCCTGAACAAAACCATCAGCACCTGAACGCCTTTTTTCATCAGGAAGTTGTACACCCTCCTGAAAAAAGGGTGCTTGGCTTCTTTTAATTGTAGTCGGAACACATGAGAGAAATGGTCCCTCTTTCCTTGACTAATCATCTACCAGTACCGTTTATATAGTTGATGTTGGAATTGTATTACTGACTACTGTCAGCCTAAATTGAGCCTATCGTGCATCCATTGAGAAATGCACAACAACAGAACCCATGTAAGTTTCATCTCCAGCCAGAGAGAGTAGTCACAGCATGTAACCAACCAGAGCAGTTAGTTAGCACCTCTCTACCCTTCTCTCTTGCCACATCCCAATTTTAAAAGCTCGTGTTCCTGGCAGCAGCCTCCTCAGCCTTTTCAGCACAAACTGATCCTGTGTGGATCCTGCCCATAAATAAGGATCAAGTGGGCTCTTCTGTCACTCTCTGCTTATAGTGACCTGTACTGGGGGCTAACAGCTGGGTTTCACATTTAATATTGCAAAATAGATAAGCATGATAGTAATCTATGAAGTGTTTCTTCGCTCTGTTTTAAAGCATTTCTTAGAATTAATGTTCCTCTCCGCAGCCCCAAAGGAGAATCTTCTCTTGCCTCCTTAAGTGCAAACAAAAAATGATTGCCAAATCTGTAAGGAGAGTTTTAACAGACTATGCTGTTTGTTACAGAACCTCTCTGGCATTCTGCAAGCACTCAGTCACCAACAGCTCACACAGCTTTGATAATCTGCAGATCACCAAGATCCAGAACTCAGTGCAGCCTGGCACAGCCGATCGCCTGTTGCACACTGTCAGGCCTTTTCTGCACCCACAAATAGCCGACAGCCACGAAAAGCCAACAGTGACTACAGAGATGCCGTTAGAACTCAAGCAGTATTAGCTACGTTTTGTTCCATCATTAAATTAGCTTTCATATTACCTCACCATCTGCTGCAGAGTTCCAGGAAATAATTCCTTGAGAGAAGTCTGGAAGCTTCCAAGTGTGCTGAGGAACACACATCCACTCCCTCTGTCTAAGCTCTGATGTTTGTTCTTCACGACAAACTTCACAGACCCCTCAAGGAGTGCAGCTGCTGAGCACGCACACGTGCTTACCTGAAGGTTCCAGCTTCTCTGTTGGTTCCGTGTGCATGTACTCAGAAGTTCGGATTGTAGGATTTAAGATTTTTGAATGCCAGTCTAATCAGAGAAGGAAAACCAACCCAATCCGGACCAGGACAATGCACAAGATTCAGCTCAAGCAGTTTCTAAACTAACTAGTTGTACACAAAGCAGCAGTCTCTTCCTCTGAAGAGCCTTTAAACTGCGCGAATGACTCAGATTGTCATTTTATAGAACCCTGACCATTACAAAACCAGCAGAGAATGAAAACAAACCCAAGCATATGTTTAACAGGATATATTTTTAAATCATTTCTTAAGGTTTTTTAATGCATGTATACATGAAAATTTATATTAAAAAAATTAAAAAGGAAAGTCTTGTTTGTTTAGAGTAACTCTGAAGTGCACAAATATTGACAAAAGCTAACAAAAAATACAGCTCTGCTTTTTTTTCCTTTTAAATAAGTAGTGTTGCAGTTACTTAAGAGCTGGCAAATTAAAGCAATCCTCTGAGTTTTAGAGTTTCTCACAAAAAGGACAACGTTTTATTATATACATAGTTCTGATGTGCAAGTATGCAATCAATATGTACACTTACATTCCTAACTGTTTACATCATTCTAGAGTATTCACAGTAGAGTCAAGCTTAAGGTTAGAAATGTGAAAAGGCCATAACAGTGAAAGAATGAAGATAAAAATCAAGATATGCCTTGGGAATTTTAGACAATTTCAACTACTTGTTAATAGAGTTCAGGTGACTAAGCTAGAATTTAATTTTGGAGCAGACTAAAAATATAGTTGTTTTTTTTCAATAAATGGTAATGCAAAGTATGCTTTTAAATGGTTTCACAGATGGCAGTATTACCACAAGCATTATTAATCACTCATTTAAGCAGTAGTTCTGACCGTAAAGAGCTTGCTTGCGGAGAAGCTGCTGCAGCCATCCCCGTAACTTTAATGACTACATCTGCCATAGCTTTGCATGTTCATTTGCCTTCCCAGAACTACTTTGCTCTTATAAAAAGAAAACCAGTTTTCTTAACCCATGTTACTTTATGTGGCCATTTCCACTGCTCGTTGTTCGTAAGAAGTGTAAAAGAGAATATATGCAGCTGAGGATTTCACAGATGATGCTGAGATCTCAGATACTTCATGGTCATCAAACTTAAACCAGCGCTGTTTGGAGGCATTTTTGCAGTAGGCGGTGTAGTGCCCTCCATCCAACCCACCGTAATGATTCTGCAAATGGCAAAAGGAGAAGAAAAAATTGATGGCTTCCGAAAGCTTCCATTTCTTACCTGGTTAAGAAAAATCAAGTAGAATATGTGATTCTAAACTAAATACTGATCGTTCATTTTAGGGCATAACTTCTTTTGGTCTCTATGGTTGCAAAGAAAGTCTTAGCACAAAGATCGCGTAACCTGAAGTGTGAATTACTTACTGATACTGAAAATAGATTGTATCTCTTCAAATTATTCTTTGGACCAATAACATACTGTGAAAGGTCAAGAGTTTCCAATGGGAAATCTACAGAGGTCTGAAGTTTTTGCTTCCATCTTCCATCATAGGAAAATCTAGAAAATTAAAAAGCATCGTTATAAGTTACAAATCACTCACAAGCTATTTAAGCACACGTGTTAAGCCATGTGCGAGTTTTCCCTGTTTTTAACCCAGGCTTGGTGTCATCTAAAAATTAAACTGTTTCACAAACAGCTTATGCTCACACATGTGCTTCTGAGCACAAATGAGAAGAAATAGCTTGTAGAAGTGCTTTGTGAACAACAGCCCAGTAAATCAGACATCAGGTGAAAATGCAGTTCTTGTGTCAATGCAGTGGAAATACAACTGGAACTTTCTCCAATTAAAAATAGTGAATGGCTGCACTAGAACAACCAAACTTCATCAAATCCTGGTCATTTCATACCAATTCATTTCCACCAATCATTATTTCACTCACCGTTTCAGGTGCACAAGAAGCACAGGTGGTAATTTCCAAATTTCTATTTTTTTCAAAGAATCCCTTCGAGTTTTGCAATGGCTGCAGTAAAATCTGTTGTTATCGGTGAGCTTTTCCTCTTTGGAGAACAATCTAAGGCATTCCTTAACAAGAGAACACACAAGTATGGATTGTGAAGGATGGCTATTTAAGATAACGGAATCAAAATGCTTATTTCCTGTTTGCTTGTTAACTTGTAGCATCTTGCTTGTTATCTGCATGCCACATTTCACACAGGTGATGAAAATGGAATTAAATCCACCTGTGAAAGTTTTACTGCATGTATTATTTATTTGCCAGATCTTCAGAGCATGCCTACAATATTTAAAGGAAAAAACAACACAAAACATTTATAGTGTGACCAACAAGAGCAAATACTAGATGTCTTTTCTGACTCTGTGATTTTGATATTTCCATCCTGCTTGTGTTTTAAAATACTTATGATCTTGTTTTTTTAATTCAGAAGAATTAAACAGTAACAGACTGAGATCTGTTCACGTTTCAGGTTGGTGTAAATTAAGCTGGAATGCTGAAAACTCCTTTGACAAGAGGCTGAGCACAGAATTACAGAATGGTCAGGGTTGAAAGGCATCTCTGGAGGCTATCAGAGCCACTCCTGCTGGTTGTCCAGGACCACATCCCTGTCCAACAAGGGAGACTGCACAACCTCTCTGGGCAGGGTCATAACAAAGTCAAGGAGAAATGTTTTTAATATTTGTCTCTAGTGTCGGCTTACCTGCAGTGTGCATTTACTGGTGGATGCAAGTGGTAAGGACAAATACATGAAAGCCTCAAAGGTTCGGGACTTCTTGTGACATGTGAGACACTGCACTGTTGATTTGAACTGGCCTTGGAAGAGTGCCACAATAATGGATTCGTTGAGCTGTTTGTGCTTCTGCCAGGCAAGTTCTGCTGCTCTGAGGTCATCGAGATGATCGTTGTTTTCTTCCTTGTATCTCTTCCTGTTGTCAGCCTGTATAACAGATGTTGGATTACCTTAGCCATATATTAACATACATAAAAAAAAAGGAAGAACATTTAAATGATATTTAAATGTGTCAGGATAGCCATCTGCCTGAGCTCTCTTCCACAGGTTTCTTCCACTGTTGCCATCAACATTTAGCAGATGTACGACTTGTAATGCACGTATCTTACTTTATTGAGGTCTTCGTGCAAGCCGTCCATTAGAAAGAGAAGCAGCTCCTGGGAGTCTTGCTGGCTATATCCTGCAAACTGGTCATTAATCTTCCCAATTGTAATTTTGAAGTCTTTTGGACTGATATATTTATACTGTCCTGTCCACAAAGCTTTCATTATTACTCCAAACTCTTCAGCCACTTCACCTTTATGCCCCAGGAAATTGGACCTACACAATTAAACAGATCCGATAAAAACAGAAAAGCTGTCAGTCTGAGTTGAAATTTCTGCCTACTTTTACGCTGTAACTTAAATATTCAGTATTGGTTTGATGGAAGGTATTGCTATTCCCAGCTTATTATGCCAACTGTTACGTAAGTGTACTGCAATCAACCAAAGCAACCAATGCTTATCTGTGAACACACTCAGCAGAATTTAGTTCACACTGCCCAGTAAAGCCTATTCTGGCCCACGGCTGAATTCTGAGAAATCTCTGGAAAAAATCTCCAGCTCTATTAATCTGACTTTACAGTTGTTAATTAAAAAAACACTTCTTATCCCTCAGTTGTAAAAAAAAGGATGAGAATATGAGATTGTTACCTGTTAATGTCATCATGATACAAGTTTCTGTTGAAGTACTCAGCTAGGTGAGGTGCGTTGCACAGACACTGTAGTATGGAGTTCATATAGCAAGTGTTCCCTAGATTACGAAGTCCTGTAAGAGCTGGTCCCGATCCCCCAAACACAGGATTAAGGTTCCTAATCTGTGATGCAGAGAGTCTTGAAATTTCTGTTTTAGGGTAATAGACTGGTCTGCAAAGAAAGATTCATTTATTTTTTAGCAGTCTGACAGTTGACAAAACCATGCACATAATCCACCAGAACCACTTTCCTCACAGGTGGCAAAACATCCGAGTGCAAGAAGTTGCCCAAATAACATCATTTAGGGTGCTGAAGACAAGTTAATGGACCAGTGACGAACCTACATACACTGGCCTGTAATCGGGCCGAGGTATGGGCTAAATCAGCTTTTATTTATTTAAATTTATTATATAATTAACAGCTAATTCTTCACGTTTAAAAATTAAATGCACTATTTCTCAGACTGAAAGTGCCAGGACTGGCATTTAATACGGTAACACAAATGCCAATACCTAAAAAGCAATTGTCATCCAATCATACTGCAATCCCTAAAACTCATGTTAATAAATAATGACATTAACTCTCAAAGATGTCCGCCCATGCATTAGAGTCTACAAAGAAAAACTCTCTGGTATTCTTTCAAGTCTACTTAGAAAACACAGATTTCAGTGAGTTAAAGACAAAATCGTCCTATATGCTATAATTGCCCAAGCTGGGATGTAAGTTATCAAACATACTTATTTTCACGATTGACTGCAGGGGTTACAGGAATTCTTTTCTTCTCTTCCTCCTGAATGGCTTGGGTTATATCTGGGGATGAGTAGGAGCGCTTCAGCTTGGAGTGCTCCCGCTCCCGCTCAGCGGCCATCTGCGGCTTGGGTTTGCGGGTTGGTGGAGTGGCTGGAGGTGTGGACGACGGAGCCATTTCTGGTGGATACATCTCAACAGTGTTCGTTGGCGAGTGATAGTAACGAAAGGTTCCAGTGATTGGATCCAGAAACTTTGGGAGGGAAATAAAGTTTTAAAATTAGCTCAAGATCTACTATGAAGCCTGTCCATTTATGAAGTACTGCAGGAAAACACACGAGTTTCTTAAACACTGAGGAGTAGTTACTGTCCTCAATACTTAGCGGGTTCAACGCAGTGGAAAGTACCACCTTCACCAACATGCATTTAAACAGACACTCCTTAGTACTGGAGTCGGCGCATGAGCTTCCCTGGTTTCATTACAGAAAATTCAGGAAAAAATTGGAAAATAACTGCATGTGGAAACTAAAGAGACAAAAATAAAGATCTGACTTAGAAATGTGACAACTGAAAAGCATTGGGAAATTGCGGAAGCAGCTTGGTTATGACATCAAAATAGAAAGTTACCTTTACCCAACCTTCAGGCAGTCCTGGTATTATCCTCCCCATTTCTTCGCTTCGGGCTCTGATCAATGGCTCCCGCAGAGACTAATAAATACAAGAGCAATGTGAGGCACAGTTACCTACACGGAGCAGCAAGCTGCCTGTGACTTCCCCATGTAGTTGCACGATTGAACGCAAAACAGTTCAATAAGAAATCCTTCATTGTAGCTGAAAATGCAATTCACTGTAGGACATAAAGATGGCAAATAGGACTGCTATTTCATACTGCTCAACCCAGACAAAAGCCGTATGCTGACATGCTCCAAGAAAAAGACAAGACAATTCAGCTTCACAATAACCTG